ATATTTTGAAGAATGTTGGTAACCAAAAGTGTATTTTGAAGAATGCTGGCAACGAAAAATATATTTTGAAGAATGTTGGTAACCAAAAGCATATTTTAAAGAATGTTGGTAACCAAAAGTGTATTTTGAAGAATGCTGGCAACGAAAAAGATATTTTGAAGAATGTTGGTAACCAAAACTGTATTTTAAAGGATGTTTGTAAGCAAAAAAAAAGAACAATGTTGGCAGCCAAACGTGTATTTTGATGATTGTTGGTAACAAAAAGTGTATTTTGAAGAATGCGTGTAACCAAAAAGATATTTTTAAGAATGTTGGTAACCAAAAGTGTATTTTGAAGAATGCTGGCAACGAAAAAGATATTTTGAAGAATGTTGGTAACCAAAACTATATTTTAAAGGATGTTTGTAAGCAAAAAAAAAGAAGAATGTTGGCAGCCAAACGTGTATTTTGATGATTGTTGGTAACAAAAAGTGTATTTTGAAGAATGCGTGTAACCAAAAAGATATTTTTAAGAATGTTGGTAACCAAAAGTGTATTTTGAAGAATGCTGGCAACGAAAAAGATATTTTGAAGAATGTTGGTAACCAAAACTGTATTTTAAAGGATGTTTGTAAGCAAAAAAAAAGAACAATGTTGGCAGCCAAACGTGTATTTTGATGATTGTTGGTAACAAAAAGTGTATTTTGAAGAATGCGTGTAACCAAAAAGATATTTTTAAGAATGTTGGTAACCAAAAGTGTATTTTGAAGAATGCTGGCAACGAAAAAGATATTTTGAAGAATGCTGGTAACCAAAAGTGTATTTTTAAGAATGTTGGAAACCAAAAATATGTTTTTGAAGAATTTTGGTAAACAAACATTTTTGGGGCCCAATGACTTCCATGGTAGTTTTCTCCATCAAAGGGACCTGAAACTGTTTGGTTATCAACATTCTTCAAAATACACTTTTGGTTACCAACATTCTTTAAAATATCTTCTTTTTGTTCCACAGAAGAAACAAAGTCATACAGGAGTAAATGATGATAGAATTTTCATTTTTGGGTGAACTATTCTTTTAAGGCCTATAAGTTAGAAAATTGATGAGTCAGAATTATTTGTGCATTATTTCTTGACCCCATTCTATTTTTAACACACTTTTCATATTTTACACATGCAGAAAGACTGCATATGCAGACAACATTAATCTTGGGCAACATCCAACAGCAGAACAACATGGTTTTGTTGAAACACAAAAGGTTAGTTCACACCTCTTAAATACACTTAGCATGAACGTATGCAGAGGAAATTCTGAAAAACTGGTTCTCCTTTGGGTTTGCATTGATGAAAAACGAAATACTGCAATATAACTTACTTCATAGGTTTGAACAGGGCTTGTCCGTAGTTCTGGAATGACATGATGAGCTTCAGTTGAGTGCCACCTGACTTCATTGCTGTGAAGGGAACATAATTGCTTTAACAACAGCCGACCAGCTTTCTAAAAACAAGACAATATGCACACGCACCCACACAAACTAACACAATCTTCTCTTCCAGCATTCATGCTAAATAGCTTTTAACTTACACAAGCATGTATTAGCTGTGATGTTTTGCAGTCTTGTAAACAGCAGTGGTGATCTCTTTCAGAGTGCATTTTGTCAGACTGTCAGCAAATCTCATGAATACATGCAGATTCCCATGAGTAGCTATGCAACCATCTGCTGTTCATGAGAGTCAAAGAGTTCAATGGTTGAAATATCAGTAACGAGTTATGGTGCACATTTGTGAGTTACAGCAGTATGGCCGTCTCAGGGTACTTCAAATGAAGTGTCAGTGGCGTGACACTCATTTTTTTCGTAATTCATTATAGTTATTATAGGTAAAACAATTTTTTTATAATTCATTATAGTTATTATAGGTAAAGCTAAAACAGTATTAAAAAGAAATTTTCATTACTAGAAATAAACAACAAAAAAAGCTCAAAAGTATTTTATTTCAGATAGTTCCCAAGCAGTGTTGCCAAGTCTGCGGTTTTTCCGCGGAATTGGGCTACTTTCACACTGTTGCCGCGGGTTGTAAAAGTAACTTTCCCCAACACTGTATATATATGAATATTATGGTAAAATGCATATTAATTTTTTGGGAAAAAAAGGGGGGATTGTCTGAGTACCACATCTTCATAAGCATGGAAAGCTTCCTCACAGTGACCTAAGAACTGCAGGTATTAAACAGCCCCTGATATCCCTTCAAAGGAAGGTAAACAGACTTTCATAAGAATGGACATATGGGCGTTTCATCACAAATGAAGTCCTTCCTGGTAACCAAAAGTGTATTTTTAAGAATGTTGGAAACCAAAAATATGTTTTTGAAGAATTTTGGTAAACAAACATTTTTGGGGCCCAATGACTTCCATGGTAGTTTTCTCCATCAAAGGGACCTGAAACTGTTTGGTTATCAACATTCTTCAAAATACACTTTTGGTTACCAACATTCTTTAAAATATCTTCTTTTTGTTCCACAGAAGAAACAAAGTCATACAGGAGTAAATGATGATAGAATTTTCATTTTTGGGTGAACTATTCTTTTAAGGCCTATAAGTTAGAAAATTGATGAGTCAGAATTATTTGTGCATTATTTCTTGACCCCATTCTATTTTTAACACACTTTTCATATTTTACACATGCAGAAAGACTGCATATGCAGACAACATTAATCTTGGGCAACATCCAACAGCAGAACAACATGGTTTTGTTGAAACACAAAAGGTTAGTTCACACCTCTTAAATACACTTAGCATGAACGTATGCAGAGGAAATTCTGAAAAACTGGTTCTCCTTTGGGTTTGCATTGATGAAAAACGAAATACTGCAATATAACTTACTTCATAGGTTTGAACAGGGCTTGTCCGTAGTTCTGGAATGACATGATGAGCTTCAGTTGAGTGCCACCTGACTTCATTGCTGTGAAGGGAACATAATTGCTTTAACAACAGCCGACCAGCTTTCTAAAAACAAGACAATATGCACACGCACCCACACAAACTAACACAATCTTCTCTTCCAGCATTCATGCTAAATAGCTTTTGCTCTAACTTACACAAGCATGTATTAGCTGTGATGTTTTGCAGTCTTGTAAACAGCAGTGGTGATCTCTTAGTGCATTTTGTCAGACTGTCAGCAAATCTCATGAATACATGCAGATTCCCATGAGTAGCTATGCAACCATCTGCTGTTCATGAGAGTCAAAGTGTTAAATGGTTGAAATATCAGTAACGAGTTATGGTGCACATTTGTGAGTTACAGCAGTATGGTCGTCTCAGGGTACTTCAAATGAAGTGTCAGTGGCGTGACACTCATTTTTTTTAAATCTGTCCTGTTTTTGCTAAATGTTTCCAGCAAAACTATTTTAGAGTCATTTTTAAAGCACTGCAATCACAACAGAGTAATTTACCAAGTGCTAAATTTATAACCTTAATTAATTAATCCTAATATGACTAAAATTACCTCCAGCAAAGTGCTATTTATTTCAGAGGCTGCATTGAACCACACTGTGTGTCTTATTGAACTCATTAGTTGAGCAGAGACACGTCAGTTGGAACAAAGCCATAATGGCGTAGCTCTTAGTGTTATTATCTGGTGTATCTGGGTCTACACATACACAAATAAGTATTGTTAAACTGCTTTAATCCCTGGAGAACTGCTCTGTTTATTTGATTAAATCTGCCCTGTTTTTGCTAAATGTTTCCAGCAAAACTATTTTAGAGTCATTTTTAAAGCACTGCAATCACAACAGAGTAATTTACCAAGTGCTACATTTATAACCTTAATTAATTAATCCTAATATGACTAAAATTACCTCCAGCAAAGTGCTATTTATTTCAGAGGCTGCATTGAACCACACTGTAAAAAAATAAACAAAGGCAATTCTTACTGTACCATAGGGGGTCAAGAGTGATATTTTTAAAATGTTAAATATCTTCTCCTGCTTTATGAAAAGTGAATATATTTGAATGTACTAAATTACAACTTTATCATTAAAAATGTGTAATCACAAATATATATTTTAATACGCCAGTACACTTTAACCATATTTCAAAGACGACAGAGGTAATTATGAAATTACATATGAAGTCCTACTTAAGTGGGTCAAAGAAGCACACAAGTTCAGCTAATTGCTTTTAATATAAATTTAAACTATAATAAATTTTCATTTAATTGCAAATAACATGCAATTAAGTGTCAGAGAACATTACATTCAGTTTGCACATAAGAATATATTATTAAAGTATATAATTTTACTGTACTGCAAAAAAAGCTACTGCAGATAAAATTGAAATCAATGTGAAATAAATTAAAATTATCCTTTTCTTCTGTACAATTCATACATTTGTCTTCATGATCTCTCTTCAAATAACTTGATATACCTCTGAAAATTACTTTTTTTTTTTTCTTTTTACACGTAATCTCATAATCTTTACAGTGGGTGCTTTTGCAAATGAGGAATCTGTTTAGAGTTGTTTTTAAATCCAGGTTAACCCTAAAAACAAACCAAAATCAACAAGACTTAACTACTCTCAACAAAATCCAACAAGCCATTTCTTTCTCACAGGAACTACCGAGATAGTTGTGAATGTTGACGATGACGGCGTCATTTCACTGAATTTTGAGTGCTCTAACCTCACCGCTGACTCCAAATTCGTCTGGTCCAAGAACTACATGGAAATGACAGAACCTGAACGCATGACCTTAGAGACCAAGGGTAACAAGTAAGTATCTATGGGCGAATGAGTTTTGTTAAATTACTAATTATCAAATTTAAAATTATGGCTTAAAGGGTTAGTCGAACCAAAAATGAAAATGTTGTTCCAAACCCATAAGACGTTTATTCATCAGAAAATACTTTTTAAAGGAATAGTTCACCCAAAAATGAAAATTTGCTGATACTTTACTCCCCCTCAGGCCATCCAAGATGTACAGTCATGTGAAAAAGAAAGGGCACCCTATTGAATTCCCTGGCTTTCCATATCAGGACGTAATAAAATAATAAAAATCTGGTCCTTAGCAGGTCTTAAAATCTGGAAAATAAAACTTCAGATGAACAACAACACATGACATATCACACCGTGTCATTATTTATGTAACAAAAACTAGGCCAAAATGGAAAAGCCATGGGTGACAGATCCACTTTTAGATCATGGCTCAAATATGCTTGCTTGACTTCTGTTTGTTAATAGACTTTTAATGGATGGACAACGAGATAATATTAATAATATCTTCATTTTTGTTTTAAAGATGAGGGATTGAAAAGACATGAGTTTGAGTAAATGTTTTGTCTTTTTGTTTTTGGTTCAAATGTCCCTTCAAACCAACTTGTGTACCTTCTGATCAATCAGTCTTGGGTAGAACATTTAAAAAATATATTATTTATTAATGTAGCAAACAATTTCAGCACATTTCCAGAGCTATAACTACAAAAAAAAAAAAGTTGGTTACACTTTATTTCGATAGTCCACTTTAGACATTCTATTAACTATAAGTAACTTTGTAACTATATGTCAACTACATGTCAACTAATTCTCAGAGTAGACTGTTAGGGTAGGTTTAGGGTTAGTAGAATAAGTTGACAAAGAAAGTGTTAGAAGATATTAAGCAGACAGTCTACTAATACTCTACTAACTGCTAGTTGACATGTAGTTGCAAAGTTACTTACTGTTAATAGAATGTCTAAAGTGGACTATCGAAATAAAGTGTTACCAAATGACTTGCTGTCAGCTTTATTAAATAATATTTTGAATTCAAATAAATCCAGTTCATTTAGATGTTACCACGTGAAGCACAGGGCATGTGAGGTTTGTAGTTATAGTTTCTGAAATCAGAGACTGTTTTATAAGAGCATCACAATACAGACGTCTCAAACTGCACAGGACTGGAAAAAATAAGTCGCTTAAGATCTTCAGGTGGACTTTCAGAGTCTAATGGAGGAAGAGTAGTTGTCAATCACACTCTCTCTTGGGAATAAAAGGATGTGTGCGTGTGCCGCTTCTGCAATCATTCTGCCTACAGAAATAGGTCCTGATGTTCACTAGCCATCTCAAGTGCCTGAATGCATGCACACATAAACATGTCTATACAGATCATTCCGTACACCTCACGAGCTTCTAAATAAAACACTTCCAAATGGCACTTTCCAGAATAAGGGACAAAATAGGGTCTGAAACTCTTACCCCTGGTTTCACAGGCAAGGCTTAAGCCTAGTCCTAGACTAAAATGTAAATCTGAACTGTTTCAACTGAAAGAAACTTGCACCGACTGATCTTAAAACATGTCAGTGCCTTTGTTTTGTCTTAAGATGCACACCAGTAATGCTTTTTTCTAAGGCATGTTTATAAAAATTACTTAAATGTCCTAATTCAGTGGTTCTCAAACTGGGGGTCGTGGCCCCCTGGGGGCCTCAAGATGGATATAGGGGGGCCACGGATTTTGTGGCGTTTTATGAAATATAGAAATTTATCATATATTTTGTGCAATCAAACATCAGAAAAATAAGGACACCAACCAAAATAATTGATGTTAAAGCATTGTATAATTGAATATGTTTTTGGTTTAATTAAATGTTGTTGTTTTTTTTTTTCAGATTATAAGTCTTCATTGGGACATTTACCAATACAGATTTGTATGATCCAGATTTGTATGATTGTATGATTTTCTAAATTCTAAATTTTCTACACACAATTGGTAACAGGGTTGGAGATTTAGCCAAGTTATAAATAAGTAGGGGCTAACTAGTTTGGGACAAAATGTTGGTTTATAGTTCACAGATAAATTCAATTCATTTGTTTTAACCTGGCAAAATTTGAATACACTTTTAACTTTTAATGTGTTTTTAAAATAACCTGTTTTCAAGTCATATCAATCTTATGTTAGATAGTAATTTATGTAACATATAACATCTAACTACTACTAAAAATGTGATTTGTGCATCTAATGCTTTTAAAAAGTAATTGGCAAATATTCTCAAATAATCCCGGTTTCCCTATTCTTCATCCACACGCCCATCTAGCCTCCACAATTCATTGTACAGTAATTCAACCACAATTACACTTTGCACACCATTGACCTAGTTGGCTCATGTCATTCCTACAACGACTCTAAACCATTTGGCAATAATTGGTTTTGGGATGGCAGCACAGGGCCTAGATGTTCTATTAAACAGGAGCAGGTCCTGGAGCCGAACTCACCTACACTGGTGATCTTCTGGGAGACCAGGTCCTTCAGCAGGGCACCGATGACGGGGTTGTGTCTGGAGTAGAGCTCGTATCGGTTAATCCCGATGTGGAAGCGGAGCCAGTTGGGATATGACTCACCAGTGGCCTCCCCTGCCGGACTGTCCTCCTCCTCCTCCGCGTTCCCCTCGTTATGCCTACCGATAAAGGATGGTGGAGGACATTAGTCACTACCAACCAAGCGGCAACCTCCTGCTCTCTCTCGTGAAACCAACACAGAAGTGACTAAAACTGCAATTCATCGACTGGCCGCTAGAGGCTGGCTCCAAAAGGGAGTCAGTCCCATAGACTCCCCATGTTAAAACGCCCAACTTTACAGCAGAAAAAAATATGTTTACAGCCTGGTACAAAAAGTGGTTTTGGTCTATATAGCTAATTTAGCCCTTCATGACAACTGTGAGGGGGGTGAATTTTTTTTATAACTCATCCGTTTAAATTATATTAAGCCTTAAAGTTCTGCATAATTAAGGGCGTGGCCACTTGAGTGACAGGTGGATTGCCGCTGCTGTCACCACCGTCGAGCTAAGTGGGCGTGGTTTCAGCAACTAGCTCCCGCCTCTTTGCCCATTTTCGATTGTATGGGAGTGACGCGCTGCCAAGATGCCGACGCCAGGCTCCGCCTACTTTAGGCTTCAAAAACGCTCTTCGGAAACCTACGGGTGACGTCACGGACACTACGTCCATGTTTTTATACAGTCTATGCTACCAACACACATGCTGCCTGACAACAGGAAACCTCAAACTTTGACGAAATCTTGATACATTTATAATTTAATTTACTTTAATATAATACTATACAGTTGTAAGTTAGACAAACTAGCAGGACATTGATTAATTTCTGTATTATTACTAGGCCCAGGTCGATTCTGTACACATTTTCCACTGATTTGTGGGGGAATCTGTGCAATGGATTTAAACATGATAAAACAAAACTGAAATGACTCAGTTTTCATTTGTAGCTGAAAGCAAAATCAAAGAAGTCAAAATTACCCTTTTGAAAAGGTAGTACACTTTTAGTATATTACGGAAATAATATACTTTAAAATAAAATGTGAACTGAGTGTAATGTTTTCAGACACTTAACTGCAAGTTACTTACAATTACATGAAAATGTATTATAGTCGAAATCTCTATTAAATGCAATTGGTCGAACTTAGGAATACTTCACCTAAGTCTTTCTAGTTAATTTCAAAATGATTTCTATTGTAAATAGATCTGCAGTGTACTAGTGAATGTACCACGCGCATTCATAGTAAACTAAAATACACTTTAATGTCATTTCTATTGAAACTTGTCATGTATTTAAATATAATTGTAATTACAGCTATAATGATGAAGCTGCAATTTAGTACATTTAAATATCAAACACATACTAGTTAAAATTATAATCAAGTACTTTACATGTGCTTTATCATGTTAGCAATTTAAATAAATATACTTCATAAAACAAGACAAAAGATGATTAAAACAATGATTTAAAATGCACTTTAAAGTAAAACTTTTAATTTGACATTATTACACAGTGCACTTTTTTAAAACGGTGTTAAAATCAGCACTCTCTTTTTAAGTACACTTAAGTAACCTTTTCTTTTAATGCTATTATTTAATTAATATGCTTCAAAATTCAGCTCCATTTGAGTTAAAATTACGCTACATTTATCTAAAAAGCAGTATTTTATTTCATGTATTTAAATTGTTTTACATTTTATTTATTTAAATTGTATTAAACTAGACGCAATGAATTCCATTACTGAATTCAATCATGTAGTACAGCTTGAGGACTGTTCAAAACATTTAAATGAAGGTGAGCATGTTTGAATGTGTCAGAAAATACTGTGGTGACCGTGGACTGACTGAATGCATCAGCTGTACTACATTCCCCTGAGGCCCCTGACCTGAACACACAAGCATGAGTTCAGTCTATTAAAGGGGTCATATGATGCGATTTCAAGTTTTCCTTTCTCTTTGGAGTGTTACAAGCTGATTGTGCATAGATAAGATCCCTGAAGTTGCAAAGACTAAAGTCTCAAAACCAAAGAGATATTCTTTATCAAAGTTAAGACTCTGCCACGCCCCCCTAAAACGGCTCGTTCTAACACACCCCACATGTCTACGTCACGATGTGGGAAGATTTGCATAACGCCGCCCAAATGTTCACGCAAAGAAAGAAAGCGTGGTTTCAGTAACCGCAGTTAGTGATGAAGCAGCATGTCAGGGAGAAAATAATGATCTTTAAAAAAGCATCATATGACCCCTTTAAAACATTGTGTCCCATCAAAACATGAAAAGGAATATTAAACAGTAATCTGACAGCATCTGGATGACAAAGCTTGTCACATGCATTTTCAGTGATCTGCAAAACACTGTTAAAAAGGCCTTTTAACTCAACTACTCATGTTTAGTTCATCTGGATCTTGATTCGGATCAGAGGCATGGTTAAAAGGCATGTTTAGTTAATTCAGGCATGGTTAAAGGCAGTGAGAATAAGCTATCCCTGGAGCACGGGTGAAGAACAAAAAGAGAGGACACAGTAGCAAACAAAGGGCATGACACCAACAAAACCCCCCTCAGCTTAATGCATCTGACAGCTCTGAAGAAAACAACACATCACACCAGAGGAACATAGACGAGTCCTAGCAGCAAAGCTTTTAACACTCACGATGAGTCAAAAGCACCCAAGCCACAGTATCATGTCTTTCCAAAGCACATGCCCTCTTATTTTTACCTCTAGATTTAAAAATACGTGTACTTCTCTCCTAAATTATTGCTTTTAATCTCTATTTCCATTGAGAATCTGACTTTATTATGATTATTACTGACTCAGAATGAGACAATTATGACCCCTGTGATGTGAAACATTTTTTTCTTAGCTCTGTTTCTAGTTTGTGCAGTCCTTAATTTCCCTGGTACTTTGGGATAAACACATTTTCATCAGTCTTCTGTATAGGCACACACTGTAGGTTCTTGACTATACTAAACTATACCGGGGCATGTCGTCACAAATATGATCTACTATCTAAAGTGAAAAAAGTAATTCTCCACAGGATAGAGTATTTAACTTATTTCCCAGCTGAATTTAAACAGGAAACCACAAAATACAAAACAATTCATGAAACGGTACAAACTGTCCCAATTATCTTAATATGACATTTGTGTTTAAAAAAAACAACATACAAAACCCACTGCAAGAGAAAACTCATATTTTGTTTAATTGGATTTTTATAAATCTCATAGTTGTGACAACAACTAGAACCAGTCTCCATTCATATTTTAATTATGCAAATAACTGGGATATTAAAAAAAATCATTTCACTTGCAAAACAATATTTATGGCTTTTAAAGTAGCACTTTCAATTCTTCTTTCCCTGCTGCTTTGGGATAAAATATGAGCAATCACCTTCAATGCTTTTCTTTATCTTTATATCTCGTTGGAACAAGTTGTCACATTATTATTATTTTTTTTTTAAAGTTGGGAATGTTTCTCAGCACAGGTTTATTTTTTCAAACTTATTGTGTTATACTGTAGACTTTGTCAACAAACAAAACCTTGTGAACCATTTAGCAAGGCATGCTGTCACACTAGACTATATGTGGTTGTCTCAATGGAACCTGCAGTTTATTGACACTGATTTTAGAAAAACATCTTTGTTTGAAATATGAAATCTTCTCCAAAGTAGCCTAATATAAGTCATGTTCAACATCACCCGATAGCACCCGGTCCTTTATAATTACGCACATAACCGGGACTCCAAAGCTCATTTTTAAACATACAAACAGTATGTGTTTTACGCCAGGTTTAAAGAAGCACTTGCCATTCTTGTTGCCTGGCAGCTTTGGGGTAGAATCTGACATCACTGTTGAGGTTGAACAAGCTGTCATCTTCAGAGAGATGAGGCAGGTCCGGCTTATAGAGGGGATGCTCATAGAGCGCCTTCAGTCTGGAGGAACCCTGGCCAGCTCTCTGCTTCTGTCCGCTCGCTGCATCTCTCATCAAACCTCTCTCCTCCGAGCCCAGCTGCAGCTGTCTCACTCTCTTTTCAGACTCGGCTCTCTCCGTCACCTTCTCCAGTGAGTGCGAAGTGAGGTTGGAGTTGGGTTCATTGCTGAAATCCTGCAGTAATCTCAAAGAGTGTTTATTAGGCCAGCCCGGTTCGGAGGCGGCGGCTCTGGGGCGCTGTTTGGCCCAGGATCGCGGCTCCTCGCCCGGTGTGTGAGCGCAGGAGCAGCCGCCTCCACCTCCAGCGCTGGAGCTCGAGCCCGCCGCGCGCTTCTCCAGCTTGGGTAACAGGTCTATCATGATGTGCATGGTGCAGGCGACGAGAAACACCATTAAAATCAACACGCGAAATTTACGGAAGAGGATCATAATTATATACATAAAGCACTTGCCACAATACGACACAGGTTATAATAAAGAGACTCAGGGGCGCATGTGGTGTCCAACTGTAATCCTCGCTATGATGGGAGATCCATGTTCAAATAGGTGCGAAAATCTTCTTCTGCATCCTGCTGTTTCCAGATGTATCAAGGAAGATTTATTTTCGGCATAGTTGCGTTTTTTGTTTTCAGGTGAGGTTCAGATGTCCTGTCGCATCCTTACAGGTTCATGATAAAGCGCATGTCCCGGTAAATAATGACAAAACACGAGGAAATCGCCGTTGTGACTTCTCAAGAACCGCACGGATATCGGACCAGCAGTGCCGTGTGTGGATATCTTCAGTATGTGAAGAGGGAGATAAAGTGCATTAGTTCTTCACGAGGAGCAGCCAGTGACAGGTGTAGATGTATCAGTGCCCTGAGAGTTAAATATTGGGATCCTGCCTCTCCTCGTCAGCGCATTCAGATTGGCTGAGTGCATGAGACTCAAGGAAGAGCGACTCAAAGATATTCGGCTTGGAATGTCAGTGCAGTTCTCTCATGTGAAGACAGAGGGCGCATGCGCATTAGACCGACGTTATTAGTGATAGGTAGCAGTAACACTATTCTCATTAATGCAAAACTATTATATACATCAGTAGATACTATATGCATTTTGAAAAACAATAAAATGAAAATCATGTCATTTATTGGGATTATTACTTTGTTTTAAGGATTATTATTGACTCAAAGCAAGCAGATGAAAAATGATGTCTCAAAATTAATTAAAGTTTAACATAGAGCCTTGGGGGGTGTGAGAAAATGTTCTATTTTTATTAAATCTGATTTAAATGTTAAATTTAGAAAAAAAATAATGGGGGGAAAAAGTCTATGCACTTATGCCAGAAACAATAGGTGACTGTTCTTGAACCTCACGTTTTGAGCTCCAGGAAATGTTTGCAAATATGTGAGTTAAAATCAAGAAAGTAATTTCAATCGACCTCATTATGGAATTTTCTGTTTGAATTACTGTATCGAAGTCTGCAGACCTCTGCTAATATCACAACAAATGTGACCCTGGAGCACAAAACCAGTCAATTTTTCGAAGTGGAGATTTATACAAATAAGCTTTCCATTGATGTATGGTTTGTTATGATAGGACAATATTTGGCTGAGATATAACTATTAGAATATCTGGAATCTGAGGGTGCAAAAAAATCTAAATATTGAGAAAATCATCTTTAAAGTTGTTCAAATGAAGTTCTTAGCAATGCATATTACTAATCAAAAATTAAGTTTTGATATATTTATGGTAGGAAATTTACAAAATATCTTCATGGAACACGATCTTTACTTAATATCCTAATGATTTTTGGCATAAAAGAAAAATCGATAATTTTGACCCATACAATGTATTGTTGGCTATTGCTACAAATATACCCCAGCGACTTAAGACTGCTTTTGTGCTTCAGGGTCACAAATATGTTTGGTGTGCGCACGTAGAACTCAGTGTTATGTGTTATAAGTCCTGCTATACGTGTATATGTGTTATACCCTAATATTTCCTAGATCTGCTGTTGAAGTATTGGCTGGAATAACAGCCAAAATAGTTTTGCAGAAAAACACGTGTGGGTGTTTCTTCAACTACTTTATAAAAACTAACAGTTTGTTATAAAGGTCACATTAAAACGGAAAAAAAAACTGAATTTTTTACATAATGTAGGGGAGAAATGATTATGGTTTCAGAAAACACTCTTGTAAACAGAACACCATCTCTAAACTGTAGTAATATCCTATACAGTTCTCAGTGGGAAAATATGAAAAGACTCACAGATTACATAAGAGGAGTGCTGTGTGTAAGTGTTATAGTTTTGTATGTATTCTCGGTTGACACTCTGTCATGCCAGTGCAGTCTGAGCTCATCTTAGAGGATAAAACTCCTAATTTTCCTATATATAGAACACTTTTATGAATGCAGCATGAGAGTAAAATAAATCAGGGCTATTTGTAGGCCAGGACCCCTTTGTTCAACTGCTACATGTCTTTAAATGAACGTTTCCATATTTCCAACGTCCTCCTTAATGTAAGCCAATTGCAGCTCCTTTTCAAGATATAACAAAGGATCTGGAGCAGTAAAGATGTTATCCTTTCTGCTTCTATCCTTCGCGTTTATGCCCATCTGATGTGATCCGGGAAATCTGAGAGCTTGTAAGAACACGCCATTGTGTTTATTATGAATCAGACAGTAGAGTGCTTCATTAATAGCTGGCCAAAGGGAGTGTAACAAAAGGAGAGCACCTTTTGTCCTTCTCATCTTTTGACATCATCTCCTCATCATAACCTGCATATTAAACACGTTAACCATGTAGACCATGGCTTGTGATATTGTCCATGTTGTGAAGCTTTCAGTTGGTGAGTCACAAGCCAAAATTGGGCCAGAGGTCCGTTCTGTTTAGACAGAAGGAAAACAACAACAAAAACAATGCTTCGTGTAAATAATAAAATGCAACTAATCATATTAATATCATTAGGATAGAAAAGGAATAGTTCATCCAAAAATGAAAATAGACTGGAAATGTACTTTTTGTAGTTTTTGAAGTTTGTTTCTTCATCTGAACAGATTTGGAGAAATTTAGCATTACGTCACTTGCTGACCAATGGATCCTCTGCAGTGAATGGGTGCCGTCAGACTTAGAGTCTTAACAGCTGATGTAAGCATCACAATAACTTTGATTGTTTTTAACCTCAAACCATCGCATCCAACTAAAAATAATGCATAAAATTGCTTTTTCCAGTGAAAGTTTAGTGAAAGTCATCTTGTCTGAATCAGGAGAGAAATTTGCACAGATCAAGCAATGTTTACAAGTTAAAACAGTTTCTAAACAAATATGTCATTTGCATTTTGATGTGAGACAACATCAGGGACTTTTTCACAGGAGAGTGATTATTATGGATTATGAACTTAAAATTGAAAAGGTAAATTAAATTACACTTAAATTTTAAAAGACACAGCTTTTTATGTTACAAGATGTGGATTATTGTGATGTTTTTATCAGCTAGTTGGACTCTCATTCTGACGGCACCCATTCACTGCAGAGCATCCATTGGTGAGCAAGTAAAAACTCAATACTTTCAGGACACTTTTTTATTCATTTATTTTTTTTATGATAAACAATTTTAGTACTTTTCCAAAGTAAATCCTGGGTCCTGAAGCGCAATAACATGATAAGCACTGCTTAAAAGCACAAAGGTGCTACCTTCTTTGTGACTGAGCTGGGAAAAAAAAAAATGATGAAATTAATTCCAGTGTCTCGCAACAGTTTGAAGGCAAACAAAGTGTCAGCATTTCACAACTCTGCCTCAAATTGATTAACATTCCTTTTTGTCAAGATTATTCATGGCAGCGCATTTTTCAGTGCAGGCTAAAATACAGTGTTGGGGGGGGGTGTACCGGCCTAAATAAAGCATTGTAATCATCCTAGCTGTTGCAACACGATTTCATTACCTCTCAAACTGGTCTGTGAAAAACGCAAACACACGCATTTCCTTGAAGCCTCCGACAAGGAACATGAACGTTTTTTGTAAACCCGGAATGCTGATGAGCCAGTCGGATGAGCTTGTTGGCAGAATTGACCATTTTTATTTGATATAAGCTCATGGATATCTTTTATATTCTGGGTTTGGATGGCAGAATCTGGTCCCTGTGATGCCCAAAAGAGCAATGTAAAGTCATCCATCACTACATTCTTGACATAAAGTAGTATTAAAAGAGGCACAATGTCATTCATTTAGATTCATATACCAGTTTGATGGGAGCAAAAGGGGTTTCTACAACTTAAAATCCCGCGAGTAAAATAAAACAGGTTTTCTGACGAGATAACTAGAAAATGTGAGTAGCGCTTGCCTAAGCAAACAAGCCACCGCCACTATGCTGGAGTGCTGTGGGTGGTTGTCAGAATGCTGTAGTAATGTGGTTTCTTAGCTTGTTAGCGTGGTTTCTAGCATGTCGCTATGTTAGGATTGCTAGAATGTTCCGTGTGGTTGCTAGGGAAGAGCTACAAGATTGATAAGAAGATCTGAGTGGCTTTAGCGTATTGCTAGCATGATTTAGATGGCTGCTTGTGCAACGGTTTGTGGATGCTAAGGTATTCTTGGTAGTTTCTTACCGGCAAAAGTAAAAAAAAAGGCCTTTTCCATGTGTTTATGATATTCTCTTCTTTTGATATGGCTAGAATCCCCTCTTCAGTGTAAGGTACGGTCACAAAATTTCGGCAGTTAGGAATCTACACGATATTTGCCTTAAGCCTGGAATACACTACAGGAGTTTTGCCCAGATTTTTGCCCCAATTTACAGTTTGGACGAGTCAATGCTATTTGCCAAAAAACAGCCCTTACAGTGGGTACGGAAAGTATTCAGACCCCCTTAAATTTTTCACTCTTTGTTATATTGCAGCCATTTGCTAAAATCATTTAAGTTAATTTTTTTTCCTCATTAATGTACACACAGCACCCCATATTGACAGAAAAACACAGAATTGTTGACATTTTTGCAGATTTATTAAAAAAGAAAAACTAAAATATCACATGGTCCTAAGTATTCAGACACTTTGCTCAGTATTTAGTAGAAGCACCCTTTTGATCTAATACAGCCATGAGTCTTTTTAGGAAAGATGCACGACTCGTTTCAATGATTCAGAGTCGACTCTTTCTTTTGAGAGACAATAACTTTATACACGGTGCACTTTCAGATTTAAAACTTTGCAGGATGTTTTCATTCACTTAGAGCTGTGCTACACACTGCATGAAAGCTAATTTTCAAAAATCCATAATAGGGGCACTTTAAAATATGAAACACGTATATTGTGAATGATTGTTAATCATAAGAAATATATGTTTCCATGTGTGTATATACTGCATATTCAATATATTTATACACATGCCATACCATACCTCATCACATCTACATCTATATATTATAAAGTGTATTACTGAATATAAAATTACATACATTGTGATAAGTAAATATATTGTCACATATTTTTCAATATATGAAAGCGGCAAGTTCTTATGTATTGTTCAATATATTGCTATTGCTATTGCTAAAATTGATCATTCATATATTAGGAACTACATTTTCTTTGTGTAAGTGTACTGTATTATGGGCACAGACACTGAGTTTCTAGCTTCAGACTATGATTCCGTCTAGTCGGAGGATATCAAACATGTTTAACATTTTGAGCTGATTTTGATGCACATATTTTGTTTCCTTTGCCATGCATCTCCTAGTAATGAGGCGCATGTTTCCGTGTGAGTTTTTTTGTGTTCAGAATGACTTGAAAGTCGTGTGTAATCTTTACTCTTTTAGTTTATGATGCCCAGTTTTTCTCTGTAATCATTTACAAAGTCAACAAGTGTATGCTGTCTAGTGTTTTTGTGTAGTGTATTCCAGCTTTTAGAAAGCAACTGAGACTAATTCTTACTTTGATGCCCACATGCTATGATTCAGCACTATAAAGACTTCCTGAGTCACTGAGTGGTGTATGCTCAATGGAAAGATGATGGTTTACACAGCGGGTCTGTTCAACAATTAGTCATCTAACTTTTAAAATCCAATCCAGAAT